ACAAGGTCAAGGGAGAACTACATGGTGACCATCAACAAAAACAGCTTTTCAAATATGTGAGTAACTGAATAACTCCTGAAGCCAGTGAACCAAGTCACAAGGTATAGGGGAAATTGGTCCCTTCCATTAAAACCTGTTGTCTACTAGATTAGGATGTAATGACCGAGCACAGAAATGAGACTGTCTTTATCGATACCCAAGACTCATGAAATGGTGAAATAAACTGTGGCTCAGGATGGAGATACAGTTTTTGTAACAGGAACATGAAGCATGTAAGTGCAGAGCCCTCCTTCTGTCTCGTGTTTTGATTGCAGCAACAATGGGAATGTACAGTGGGAAAGAGAGGGACAGAAGTAGCTAAGGAGTGTAAGGCTGCTGCAGCCTTTCAGTAGTGATGTGTGCCTTCTGAATACCTCAAACATACAACAATCCTTTGAAATCCAGCACTCTAGTTGAGTGGCAACTACATTTCTATGAATATGGTCCACTTGTATCAATTGCAAGTGAATAAACAATTGAGCCAGATCCTTCAAACATGTTTTCAGTCCCTGTAGTATATCAATAAAATTCCAGGTATGTAAGAATAGGGAAAACATGCTCTGCAGTAATGGACATTGCCACAGTCTGTTGGTAATGCAAATAAACAATCCTCTGATAGCCAGAGATGCGGTAATTCTACTGGCCTTGAAAATATCTTTCGGAAGAAAAAAAAACCCAAACAAAACCCCCAGACTAAATGTGTTTCTGTCTTTAGTGCCTACATAAAGGCATCTAGGCACTTAGAGATTCAGTGGAATTTTTCACATTAGCAGCTGGCTCTGAATCAAATCAATGAGATTTAAGCAGTTCCATCCTTCAAAGTAAAGGTCCCTGTCTTGGGTTTTTTAAGCAATTAAATACATTTATGGGCACGATCTTTCATATTTTTAATATTATTTCGTGCAGAGGAATGTGGACACTGACATTTCTAGTCCATGAGATGTTCCAATGCTTCCATAAAAAATTCAGAAAAAAAAAATCTATATTTTTATATGTCCCACAGCATGAATTTTTAGAGTAACTTCTATACATAACTATCAAAATATCTTAGTTTTCTACTGCTAAATTCAAGTTCTTTGGAGTTTAACTTTATATTAAAGTTTTAACATATGTAATGGAGTAAAACCCAAGTACTTTAAAAACCAATTTTAAAAAGAATATGAAGCATAACTAAACAATGTATTTCTGCACTGTTACAACTGTATTTTTCAATGCAAATTTACCCTGTTTATGGAAGTATAGCTAAATGTACAGGTAAGTCATATTTATTTCTGATAAAAAACTGCCTTAAAGGTACTTGCTGAAGTACAGACGGAGAAAAACAATAGTTTGAGACAGCTTGCTCTTTTTCTATCATTCTGCTGTAAGAGTTAAAATCAATGGAAAGGATAGCAAGCATCAATAGGAAAGGCTGGAAAATTTAGTCAGTGTGTTTGTTTCTTCGCTTCAGTAAAAAAACAAAGACTCATTATTTTTTTCAATCTTTTTACTTTTGCTTTTTTAAGGACTTTGACAAATTGACTCTTCACACCCGTACTGGAAATTGTCAGCAGCCCACAGCAAGGATAGCATAGCTGTCCATGTTATTACCTGTTTTATGCAGTGTGCTTCAAGAATATTGAACAATATGTAAAATTTTTACATTTTCTAAATCTGATGGGGATTATTTGAACCTCCTAGGAAAACTGTGCATAAAAAGGCAATGTTTTGCTCCAAGCAACGTGAACCAAGAAAGAACATACAAATATAAATACAGCCTGAGACCAATAAAGCTGTAGCTGCAAATCCACCATGGCAGCAAATGGTTTCCCTTTAATAATGAAATACCACACTGCCAAAAACAAATATATAACTCAAACTATCCCAACCCTACAAAATAACGGTGTTTTAAAACAGAGAGTCCTTTCATTCTCTAGTGTGCTCTTTTCTTTTGCAACTAGGAGAGCTAAATTCTTACTTGAAAAAAATGTGAAAACTCAGACTGCCACACAGTCACTTGTTCAGGGGCTTGAAGTGAAACTCCAGATATTCCAACACTGCCAGCAATACCATAGCTGGCAGCAGTACCTATGACCAAATTTGTCTTTATAAAACAAAGTACATGTTGGCACTGCAGCTAAGTTTCTTAGTTTGAGGAAAGAAAGGAAAACATTTATTCAGTAAGGGAAAACTTATTTGCCAGTAGGGAGGAAAAGAGAAGATTTCTGTTCAGTTAACACATAGAGGAATAATCTTTTGCTGCAAAGACCTCTGCAAGTTTAAATGATTTCTTTGTAAAGCAAAAAAAACCTGTTTTCATTGACAAGAGTTCTGAAAATCTCTTCTGTAGCTCAGATAATCCAAGTCAGAAGCTACAACTACAACTCAGCTTTAGCCAGAGCTTTTCTTTTAGTGAGTTATTTGAGCTGTTCCTCTGCTATTCCTATTATTTCTTACTGTGCATGCTGCTGCTGCTATCCAAGTTTGATCCAGCCAAAGTTAGTTTCCTTTGAAGCTGATGTTAGTATCTCCGAGGGATGTACTTCTTCTAAAGCTTCAGGGAGGCAGTAAACTGCCTTTGGACTCTCTGTCCCTTTCTCTTTCTCTCCCTCTCAACCCCTTGCACGAGGTTGGGGAGCCTTTTCCACACTTGTACCTACAATATGGGTAGCTGCTGCAGGGCTGCAACACTCTGTGCCCTTTCTGCCTTCAGTGAGTTGCAGGTAACCACCACAGTCACCATCTTCAGCAGCAGCAACAGCAGGCTGAGGACTCCTTGGGATGCTGCTACTCAGATAAGCAGCACTGAACCAAGTCAGTACTCTCTTAGGCATTCAGATAGTTTGTCTGGGTCTCAGAACCCAAAGTAGAGATCCTGTCCTCATGCCTTCATGAGTTGTCAGAGCTTTCACTTCAGTCAAGATAATATTCCTTCTTCAGAATTAACATTTCAGGTTGTGGTTTGGCAATGAAAAGTTACCCTCTTATCGCGTCAGGAACCTGGGATGAATTCAGTCTCTGTGTTCAAATTTGTCTTTTTTTTATTGAAGGCTTTCTGCTACAGTAGTTATTGCTTTTCTAGCCCATTCTAGCTTCAGGTCCTATGGCAGCACAAAATTAGCCTAAAAACAGAGCACTGGCAATAACTCCCTGCCATATGCTCCAATCAACTTGACAAAGGTGTCACTGCGTGGCCCACCACTTTCTCAGTGAAGTTTGTATTACCATGTGTTCTTTTTCAATAATGGTGAAAATACAGTCTTCCTAAGGAGAACTTACATGTTTGCATCTCTCATGGATGCAAATACATAAGCTTGTCCAAATGAAGTGCCAGCAATTCGTTGTCTACCATCAGATTTCTGTTGAGCACCAGCCTCTATCACCTGCAATAGGCAAAGGATGTGTCGTAGTCTTAAGATATAGCAACGTGATTTCTTTAAACAAAAGTTGTGTGGGTCAATTTTCCCAATTAACAAGGGAGAGGACAAGAGAAAGTGGTCTCAAGTTGCTCCAGGGGAGGTTCAGGTTAGATATGAGGAAAAATTTCCTCACAGAGCGTTGTCAAGCACTGGAATGGACTTCCCAAGGAAGTGGTTGATTCTCCATCCCAGGAGGTATTTAGATGTGTAGATGTGGCATTTAGGGACACGGTTTAGTGATGGACTTGGCAGTGTTAAGTTAGTGGTTGGACTTAGTGACCTTCTTAAAGGTATTTTCCAACCTAAACAATTATGATTCCACAATGATGCTGAGCTGCTACCATTTTCCTCATCCCACAAATAAAACTGCACTGTGGTTGGAAGCACTGTGGCTTAGCTCATGGGAGTTCCTGCATGTGAAGCCATTCCAAAACTTCCCCGTATAGTGAGAAACAGTCATTAGGGAAAAAAAAAAAAATCTGTATTACTGAAATAAGTAGAGTTGACTATTTAATGACTCAGGCTGTTTGTCAATTTTTCCACCAGTTTTTCCTGTGAGATGACAAAGAGGGAGAAGAGCAAACATACTGCACTGCACTCTCATTGTGGTTGAAGTTTTGTGATTAAATGCCATTAGCTGCCTTGAATTGTTAAGGCACGGAGCACAAGAGCAGTACAAGAACATGCTTTGATAGCCTTTATCTCTAGAACTCTGCTCAGATTTCCTCCACAGAAATTGGAGAAAGGCTGTGAGAAGGAGGGATACCAAAGTTTCCCAGGTCAGTGGGTCCTGAGCAGGAGAGAACAATTCTGTGGTGGCTGATTAGACAGCTCAGGTAAGAGGCTTGCTTTGGGGACTGTATTCCCATCCCATGGCCCAACAAGTACCTATATATACAGAAGAATAAAAAAACCTTTCCATAGTTTCAACTTTTCACATTTTTTAAAAAATAAAGAAATAAAGAGGACCCATTTCCACTTAAAGGAAAAACCCACACCCCAGCTCTAACTCTGAGAAGCCCAGAGCCTCTCCCTGCTGGGGCACCTTGCTGGAGTCATTTCCTTGCCCAGTTCTGGTGGCCCCTTGCATCCTGTTGGTGTCAGGATGGCAGCTCTCTCAGGGAGGCATTCTCTCTCTACCTTTAGCAGCTATGATTTTCACCAAGGCTACTTTACGCAACCCAAAACCAAGCCAGATGAGGGTTCTTGTTGCTTGTTTTGGTACTCTGTTCCTCTCTGTGTTATCCCTTGTTACCTGGGCTCCCTCACTTCTCATAAATGTCCTCTTTAAAAGTTTAACAAACTACAGTGAGAAGGCTGGTGATGTATAGCATATTCGAAGGAAAGATTTGCCTCTGTTCAGAAACCTTCCTGACCTCGTGACCGAAGAAGAACAAAATAACGTATTAACAAAAACACAGTTCACTGCCAAAGAAAAGGAGTTCCTGTAAGAACTGAAACAATAAATCTCCTCTGCACTGAACTCCCAGAGGGAGTATGTTGTGTTTCCTCCTGTTCTTTATCAAAGTCCCCAAAATAAGCAGGAATGGGCAGTGACTAGGCACAGTCTCTACACACCTTTTTCCATGGAGTAATTAAGGCCTGCCCCGGAGTGAGAGAGCACTCCCTGCCCAGCTGTGTAAGGGAGAGCTGACAGCATTACCACCACTACCACCATTACCACTAAGCATGAAGCTCCTGGGGATTGCCGCCTTCTTCTTAGCTGTACTCTGTGTTTGCACTGTGGGAGGTAAGTTCTTTGGCTTTCTTGGACAGACATCTGTGGGGTGTTTTGTGAGCAAAAGCTTAGCTGTCAGTAGCTGGATGCTTTTTTTTTATTTTTTTTTTCCCCCACTGCAGTGATTGAAAGACTGTGAGTTGGAGGAAAAGAAGGCACTAACTGGTAGTTGAGTTGTATGTGTTCTATCAAAAAACTTTCCTGCCGTTGTATTTTTGTGACAGCTTTCTTTTTAGGTATCATGAAGCTCCTAAATCTAAGAGAAGCTAAAAGCAGAGATATATTTACAAAAGTTTTCAGTTGTGTTTTTCTTCTAAGAAATAAAGCATCTTTTGTAGAGGGGGAGGGGGGGGTGGAATTGGAATGTCTGAAAGATTTTGCAAATACTGCTCTTGCAAATCAGATCTATCTTGATGGATTTCCCTGGCACTATGCCAGCAATAAGTTTGGCCAAGAGTATCTCTCAGTGATTATTTTAGTTTTGCCCCCAAAGATATAGGGGCTTACAACATTTATCAAGTGTCAAATAGCAAGGGATGGAAGCCTAGGGGTGGTGTTAGTTACTAGGTGCAGTAATCTTTAAACATGATTCTCAAATGTACAGATTTAATCAAATTTTTTGATGTTCACGTGATTGCTAATCTGATGTTTTCATTATTCTTTCCCTTGAAAGATCATGCTTTTAAAGTGAAATATATTGGTAGCCCTGAAAAGATGAAAGAAACTGCAACAAAGGCCAGAATCTATCATCGCCTTTGTCAAAAGATACATTTGAAGTAAAATCTGCCTTTTGTCTGTACTTTTCCTTTGCTGGTCCTCTGGGCCAAAGCTTCCACAAATGCCTACAGATTGTCTGCAAGGGATCTATGAATCAGAACTTTAAAAACTGATAATAAGTAGACATCTATCTATTAGATAGGTATCTAATAGGAAATAGATAACAGATTAACTGATCTATACAAAGTTAATCAACTTTTGCTCAGATTATGTGTTAAAATCTAGTCTTTTGTCATGTATCTTATGCTGTTTCTTGGGCTCATTGCTGTAAGGAAAGCAAATCAATAAAAGAGATTAAAAATAAGCTTGTGCCACAGAAAGAACTGCTTTTAAAACTATGTTAAGTAAGTACAAGCCCTGAAAGTCTGTGTTGAAGTACTATTTATTCTCTGTCTGCTACTCCTAGTAAAAATAGCCTTCCTGTCATTGTTGAAGCTTTAATTTCACAATTTCTGAAAAGCAAAGTGGAGTTGCATCAAAAAGAGCATATTTAACACAACAGTCCATAAAGCTTACCAGAATGCAGCATGCAAAGGTGGGAGGAATTCTGTCAATTTTATACAATCCTTTCTTTAAAAAGGATTTTCCCTCCTCTGCATGATATGAATGTGGCAGAACTGATGACAGTGAATAAGCAAATTTTATATATTATCCATTTGTTCTGAACAATTTTGTTTCTGTAAAGTATTCTTTAAATGCTTTATTGCAAGGTAGATATGGTAGCAAAATTCTGTTGGTAAATTCACAATGGAAAATTAAGAATATTTGTGGAGAAACTGGGAGTATGTCTCTATCTACCTTGTGAAAGTAAAGGTGCATAATCTGGTCAATCTTCCTTCAGGCTACCCCATGCATCAACCTGTTAAGACAGAAGTGGTTTTATTGTCTGTAGTATGAGGCTGGACCAAGTCTTTTGATTTCCTCTTTTTGTGATTCCCGAAGTGTCCTGGGCTGTAATGGCAGGATCTTATAATCTGAAGAGGGGAACTGATGGTAAGGATGCTAACACCAATCTCCCTTGTGCTCAGTCTCCCTTTTTTGAACACTGGAGACAGTAGCAAGACTTTTCTCCAGTTGCTTAGAAACACCTTTAGTGTCTTAAAATTATGCTCAGTAAAATTTAAAGAAGTTCAAATCAAACCCTGGTGTTTTAATATTCACTCCTCCAGATTTTGGGGTATTTTGCCTTCAAAGCTTACAAAGACAAGTATTCCGTGGGCTTGCAACCTTCTCATGTAATACACACAAGTTGCCTGTCTTTGTGTCTTTTGTGTATCATACACAAGTGGACAAGGATGTTTCCACTGTGGTTAGTAAACATTGCTCCAAATCTCCTGCGGGGCTTCCAAATTTCATGCATTGTCTTCAGCCTGTGTGCTGGCAGAGCCTTTCTTTGCAATTTTCTAATTTGTCTTAGGACTTCACATCCTCAAAAGCCCCTAATGCTTTGGTGAGATTGTGTCATCACATTACTAGGGGCTCAGTTATGTTCAAATGTGGAAGTTGGTAGCCTCCTGATGACTTATCCCTCCTCTCACGGCTTTTCTCAACCCTTTGCAAGTTAGATGACATGCTTAAAACAGACATTCCTTCATGCTCATCTCAAGGTGTTCAGTCCTCCTGGCATATTGCTCTTTATTCTTATCTGTTCCAAAACAACTCAAATAGAAATGCTTTCTGCATTGATTCATAGCATTTCCAGCTTTAAACAGACAGCACTGGAATCTGTCAAAAAATACATTGTCAAATTATAGTAATCAAACATAAATGCTTGAGTCTGCATTAAGATGTAATTACTCTTGAAGTGTGGAAAGGTGAAGTTTGTTCTTCTAAAAGATGAGGGCAAAGGACTTGGCACATTCTTACAATGTAAGTGCTTAGAGGTAACATCTTCCTATGCCTTGGTCTTGCAATATAGCATGACTGTGGCAACACAGCACAGCAGATGCCCTCCACAAAGTGCTTGTAGCATGTCACAGCATCCTTCTCACTCAGGCACCCAGGCTGGTTTCTTGCAGAACTGATAGCAGAAAAGGGTGGGTTGTGCTCCCCTTAAGATCAGTCTGGATGCCTTCAGGTTATGTACTCAAATGTAGGAGCTGGAATGGACTGTCTCGTGTTGAAGACGTGCAGTGGGTGGGTTTATTAGTGTCTGATTACTGACCCCTGTTGACAGCTAGCAGTAACTTTATCCAAGTGCTCTGTCAAAATTGATGGCACTACAAAAAAACAAGGATGCTTTTCCTTTTTTTAAAGGTATGAGCAAGTCTTGGCATTGAGGGCCTGGTCCAAATACCCCTGGAAGTAATTTGGACCTATTCCATTACACTGTTGATCCGCTCTCAGTTATATGTTTTCCAGTCCCCTTCCCCATTAAGGGGATGCTGTGGAGCATTCCAACCCTACAATGCAGCTGATTAATCCTGACTCCCAGGCTGACAGCTTGAGAAAAGTTCCACTAAACCAGGGCTCCTGTAGTGCAGCTGCCTGAACTCTGCTCTTGCTGGTGTAAACTAGAGGAGATGGATAGTCTTTTCCTTTTCCATCTTCTGTGCTCACAAGCCTTCAAGTCTTTTAAAAATTCATTTTAAAAATTAAATACTAGCTAAACTATTTTGAGCAGTTGTAGGTTCTGAGCATAGTCTTCCCCCAGTCTGGGTTATTATTCATGTCGGTTCTCTGGAAGACCAGCAAGGCACAGACTGTCAGAGTTGGATCATAGTCTCATCTCTGAAAATCTGAGATATGTGAATAGGCTTTGCATAAGGCTTTCTTACACCTTTAATTTGCTTGAGCATAAACTTTGAATGTCTTGAGATTTTTTCTGTTGAGAAAAAAAAAAGGGGTTGGCGTTTTCACTGTTCCTAGCATTTTGCAAAACTAACTTTGTCGAAGATCAAATTATACTGCTGGAGAATATCATAACATTTAATAGAATATTGAATTTTTATCCCTGTACACATTTCTTTTGTTCTTTTTTGTTTCCCCTGCTCCCACATTCCTTTCATTCATTAGATCTTTTGCATATGGGGGCAATTTTTGCTTAATGGATTTTAGAGGTATATTTATTACTGACCAGAAGAAAATTGCATGTTCTAGCCCCAAACCTGAAGACAAGTTTAATGCATTTACTGAGGATAGAAGCAGATGGCTTGATACCTGCTTGATTGTGATTTACAGCCAAAATAAATTGAAACCGAATATGAAGGGAAAGTTGCCGGCAGCATTCAGCTCCAAATCTGAGAATGCATAATGCCATACCCAACAGATGGTTGTCTCCTCTGAAAATTTACCAGGATGTTTTCTTTTTTATTTAGCTCTGTCTTTTTATCTGTATTTAAATCTAGAGATCTTATTAGTATTTATTCCATTACAATTTAGGAAAAAAGAAAGATTGTCTGAGGCTTGGTTTTGTTTGGTTTTGTGGGGTGTTTTTTCTAAATAGGAAAAGTTCCTTGAATTTGGCTCAAATGGTTTATACACCTGAGTCCTATGTAAAAAACCTGAAAAAGTACAAGTTAAAAGTAATCTCCAAGAAACTCTTAACCTAGGGAAGGGAATACTTTGAACTGGTACTATTTGATAGTCAGACCAACTTAAAAGTCTAAAGACAGTAAAACTGCATGGAAAGCTATCCTTATTACTTGTGGCCCTCATGAAGTGGAGATAGAGGGGGTGGTTTTTGTTTGTATTTTTTACCACAACAACTCAAGAAAGACCCTTTAATGTTTTGGGGTTTTTTTTTCCAAAAAAACAGAAAGACAATGTTGGATTTGTGCGTAGTAGCTATTATTTCCAAACGAGTCAAGAATTACAGACTTGGCTCCCTTGGAAGACAAACATCTACTTTTGTGTTCAGCTAGCCCTCTAAAAATAGGTTTCCCAGATGTAAATGGAAGGGACAAACCCCTGACTTGCACCGTGTCCTGCTGTGGAAGTCACCGTCACTGTTCCAGCAGCTGAGATACTGGCAGTGATACACTGGCATTCCTCTTGTGAAAACTGGCCCTTGGATGCCATAACAGCAGCATGCTGTACCAGCCAGACCTACCTGCACTAAGAGAAGTGGTTTGACACAATTTAATATGATGCTGTCTCTACACTGTGCCTTCTGAGCCTACCTCCCCACGTGAGAAAACTGTGCTGATTATCACTCGGTGATAATTATTTTGGAATAAAATCAGCAATTGTGATCTGCTGGGGTATTGCAGAAAGAGGGTAGGAAGCCCTCTGCT